TGTTACACCTATAAATTACGTGACATGCACATGAAGGAGGGGGTCCCACATATGTCGACGTGACATCGACTATTCAATTGATTGGACTATTTAATTAAACAACTTCATATTGGGCATGAGCTCAATGACTCGATCCATTAACCACTTGGCCCATTATCATTTTTCTATATATACTTGACTTCACTTCACAGAAGGTAAGCATTCTAACCCTAGCCAAAATCCCCTCTTCCACCTCTTGCACTCGTATTATTTTTCGTCTTGACCGTCGGAGTGTAAACGGTCTCCAGAATTTTCTCTCAATTGACGGCATTTGTCTCATAATGGGGTGTTCCAGTATGCAAGTGATGCCCACGTGAAGGAGAGATAGTCGGAATTATGTTGGTGCATTGTTTGATGTCAACAGTATTTTTATATTTTAAATCATAAATTTTTTTTAAAATTACAGATTGAGCAAAAGAAGCAACTATTGACTGATTAATAATTGAACCATAAAATATTTTAAAAATAATACACAATTTTAATGAAAAAAGAAGAAGAAAATACCTTGGTAAGCCTCATTAATGTCTTGGAATCTTGAAGTCGTACTATCTTCATCTTCTTGCTTATCCGGATGCCATTTCTACCCAATGAAATCGAAGAACAAAAACCAAGAATTTAAAAAATCAAATTAAAAAAGAATTCGACAAGTTAGCTTACAATTGAAAAAAAAAAAAGAGAGAGAGTAATCATAGAGAAATCCACGCACCAAAGCAAGACGGATATAGTTGGACCGAATAACTTCCTCTGTGGCATCATAATCAACTTCCAATATTTTATAAAAATCCTAAACACCCAAATCAAAAAGAAAACAAAATTAACAACAAACAAGAAGAAAAAATCGGTGAGATTTTCAATAAATACAGTTCGCAAACAAAAAGGATAAATAACTTATACCTTGGGCTTGGATAAAACTGAAAAAAAAAATTGAAGTTGATATCATTGTCGCCTCCGATTCTTCTTCTTTGTGTTGAAAATAGTGGTAAAACTCGTCCCGCGTCATTTTCTTTTTCAAGAATCTTGAGAAATTAGGGATTGGGAGTGTTAAAGTTAATTCTGCACCTCAAATTCGGGTGGAAATTGAAAATTCTGGGTTTTTTAGCTGAGGAATTTGGATTGGGGGGAAAAGGAGGATAATGGAGTGGA